ATTAAATTTGTACAAAAACGCTGCATTATTTTGTCCTTCTCTGGTAATTTTCTTGTAACACACAAATCAAGTAATTACTATATTACCATATACTCATGGCAAACTTGAAGCTTATTTTGAGGAATCTTTTAGGAGTATTTTCAAATACTGACAATGTGTGTTTTATATACATTTAAGGAATCACATGCAAATAATTTGTTTGGAAATCCTGTTATTCTTAGTAGATATTAAATAAAAATTTGAAATGTCTCCTTACTCTGCTTTTTAAATCTAGAGAGTAAAACTATAAAAACTAGTGAATCAACTATATTTATATGTTCATGTATTTGTATATATGTATACTTTTGTACTAATATATAAAAATAAGTTAAGCACTAATGCAGAAATTGGGATGAGATAAAGTTAAAATACATACAATTTTGGGAATAATTATATTTATTAATGAAATAAATTTATTTTTGGTCCCAGTTAAGATTGCTATTAGTGATATTTCAGCAGTTAGAATGTTTTGATGTGCTTTTTATTTTAAAAAATATTTTTTAAATACTTTATAATATAGCAATCAAAGGTCTGATTTTAAAGTCATATTTTAGTACTTGTTTTGATAATTAGTGCAGATGAAAAAGGTATGTAAATTAAAATGTAAAAAATACATCTTTGGCTATTGGTTACTGAACCATAATGCTAATCTTTAAAGACCTGTCCACCAATTTTTGACATTTTTCTTCCTGTTCTGGATTTTTTGTTTTTAAAACAATTTACTATTTGCAATGGCCTTCAGCTATCATTAACCAATGTTTCAAGGTACATCATGTGCATAAGATGAAACTCATCATTAAACACAATGGGTGTAAATCCATATTTTAAATATCCTCATTGGTAATTATACATTTGCTTTTGTAGGTTTCTTGTTAGAGTTGCTTGCTTAATTCATTACTCTTTATGTGGCTAATGAAGAGTTCATGTTAGGCATAGAAGTGATTATCCCTTTTTCTTGTCCATTTCTGCTTGTGTAATTATTAGTGTTTTCTTCAATCTATGGTGTCATTTAGCAATAATCTTTTGAAGCCATTTGTCTATTTTCACTTGAGTTAATTTAATCAAAATGAGATATTAGAATTGTAAACTCACCTGAGCACAAATGAAAGTACCATGAAAACAAATGAATGAGGCATCGCTTGGCCATTCCCTATGGCACCTTCTTCTGTACCCATAAAATGCCTTGCACACAGGACCATCATCTACTTATAGATACAGTGAGAGTGCCATTATCATTCCATATATTAACTACTAGCAAGGCCTCATTTACTTCTTATATTTAGATAAGGATCTTATATAAAAATATTCAATAGTTTCTTCCTACACCCAAATGGATGTATACATTCCACATTGTAAACTATTGCTCTAATTATCCTGCTTCTGCTCACAAGTTTTCTGGTCATTTAGGTTCCATACAGTTGATCACAGTTACATTTACTAAGATATAACCGATCTTATTCCTTGATACAGACCCATGTGCCTCTCATTGGAGCATGTGATGAAGTTTCAGATGTTCTCAAACTCTTTATTCATTCACAAAAATCTTTAATTTTCTCTGAGAGAGGGCCAGTGTGACAGGTTACAGTGATGGCTCCCATTCTTCACCCCTTCCGTATCCATGCTTTTTTCATTTAACTTTGTAATGCCATCCTCCTAAGAGTGGGGTGACCTGCTAATATGTGATACTCAACTCAACTGTGTGACTTGCATTGGTCAACCAGACATTATACAAGCAATGACTTGAAATGGGCTTGTGCTTTGGGATTTGTTCTTTTGTACCTCTGCCATTGTCATGAGAAAGATAAGCCCAAAGTGAGTGGTCCCTGGAGGAGGATGGGAGATACTTGGAGCAGAGCTGAATTGCCCCAAAGGCCCTACAGTATGAAGGCAGCCCAGATCAGGCAGTGGCCAGCTTATTCACAGATGGATGAGCAAGAATGGCTAAGTTCATCTGGCCACAGGTGAAATCAGCTGACCTCCAGTCTCATGACTTCTGAGCTAATAATAATAATAATAAATAGCTAATAAATGGTTCTTATTTTAAGCTACTCATTTTAGTTTTGTTTTTTTTTTACATAGCAATAGCTAAATGATATTAGCTAGTCTCTACGTTTGACTGGTTGAACTCTGATTTCTCTTTATGCCATTTACAAACTCAGGAATTGGGGAGAGTACTTTACTTTTTTGTCACTTACACCCTCTGTTCACTCCTCAACCTACTGCATTCTGGCTTTTGAATTCTCCTTTCTACCAAATGCTAACTCACCCTAGAGCAGTGGAGAGCATACCACAGACCACGGGCCAAATTGTGTCGACCTCCTATTCCTGTAAATAGGCAGCTTGATTGGCACATAGCCACACTGACTCATTATAAATTGTGGATGGGGACCGTCACACTACAACAGCAGAGTGAATAATTGTGACGTTGACCATATGGCCCACAAAGCCTAAAATGTTTACTAACTGCCCCCTTATAAGAAAAGTTTGCTGACCTCTGGTCTACAGTAACTCTTACATGTTTGTCCTAAAGTATATTATTTGTGTTTATGTATATATGTAATATTGGGTGTGTGTGTGTATATATATATATATATAATGTACATAAAAACATTGCAGTATTGCCTGTAATAGTGACAGACTGGAAATAGAAAACATACTTGAAAACATGGAAAAAGGATGAATGTTGTGAGATTTTCTTAGAAGGTAATGCTATGTAGCAATGAAAATGAATCAAAATACTAGATGATTGCCATGAATAAATCTCAACAATGTAACTGAAAAGAAGCAGTGTAAGAAAACTATGCACAGTATGATACCATTTATGTAAATGTTAAAAATGGAATAGGACACATGTATTTATATAGCAAATATGCAAGTACATGTATGTGAATGATAAACACCAAATTTAAGATAATTATTTCCACAGAGAGCAGGGGAATGTAACTGAGGAGGGATAAGTAGGAGCTTCAATATTTGTGACAATTTCTGCTGGTGATGGTTGCAAGGTGTTTGTAATATTCTTTATACTCTCTAATATATCTGTAGACAAAATAAAATAATACACAAGTGAAAGCCATGGTGCCTTTTGTTAAGATTTTCAAGCTAGTTAGAAGGCAGAGAACAAACATATAATTGGAATACATAATTTTATAGTAATGAAAAGCTTTACAAGTAATAAAGATACACAGCTGACTGTGCATTTTTCAGGTATTTAAGGGATGGGGGATGGTTGTGGGTAGAGTTCATGACCCAGGCAGGTAGGGAACTTACTTTAGTGGAGAAATAGCAAAGAATGGGCATTATTAACATTACCTAGAACATCACATGAATGTGCATGGTTGTAACAAAGAAAACAACAAATTAATAACAATGATGTGCGGGGGAGAAAACTCACAGATCATGCTGGATAGGTTAGCACAACACACATGGGACACGGAATGCTCAAAAACAAATAGTGTTCCTGAAAACTCTTTAAAAACACTTAAAAAAAAACACAGTTGTAAACCTTGTGTACCTTCTATGTATTAGGTCTGTAGGAAATGATTGCCGTGGCAATAGCTTCTGAAACAGGTAAAACATGTTATAATTTTTTAGAAATGGAAAAATTGAATTTGAAGTTTTATAAAAGTTGTACAATATATTCCACATTAGACTTGAATTTGAGGGAACCATAGTTGGAAAGAAACACTTGCATAAAATCTTATCAATTAGCCAAGATTCCTCTCTTAATATAGTTTATTTTTTAATTGAATTACATTTATATGGAATTAAATATTTTTTTTAATGACTTAACCACACACAGTGGGGGTGGATTCAATTAGGAAATATTCTCCTAAGAATTAAAAGCACAGCTCAGAGCCGCTGTTCATTTCCTGTTCATATGCCATTACCTATAGCTGAAACTTATTATCTTCAGCCATTCAATTTTTGAGGAATCACTGGGAATCATTTACTTAATTAAAATTTGTACAAATGATTTGATATTTTCATAAGTATATGGCCTTTTTAATCTTTCCTTTTTGTATGCATATTTTAGTTGAGTGAAATTGTCAATTGCTAAGGCATTTATTTTCAAATGTGTGATGACTATGGCTTTGTGCTCAAGGACAGTTTCTGAATTTCCAATCTCAGGTATGTAGTTGAACATTTTAGTTATTTATCATGTGACTGAGTGTATGAACATACATTGATAAAGCTGACTCAAAGTACTGGAGAACGATAATGGAGGAATTGATCACTAGCTGATCAATTGATCACTAGCAATTAAATGAATATTTAAAAATACATTTTAAACTAAGGGAGTTGATTTGCAAAATATTTGCATTTTAAATATTCTAACAACTTGTCAAAGTATTTTTATTACAACCAGTTTCATAAATTCAAGCTATTGAAATCACTATCCCCTAATATATACTTGCTAACAATATTACATCTCACCATTTGTTTAGAATTAAAAAAGAAATGTATTTTACAGTTTCTTTGGCAACAGGAGATGATGACTCATACAGATATGACAGTGTGTTTAATAGTTGTTTCTCTTTCTTTCTTTATTCTTTTTTTTCTACTGAGAGAGCTGCCTGCTTATTCTTTCTTGAGATACACTATGTAGAACAATCCACCCAGACCCTACCCAGGCATTCCCTCTCCTACTAATTCTAACCTACAGGATGCACTAAAACAGTTTAATTTAGCCTTGTTTTCAACTGAACGAGACTAGATAAAGTAGATTTATTATTTATTTTCTATAATGATATGTAATTAATTGTCTAAACCTGCTTTTTCTCACTGTAAATGGCAGCATTTATTGATAAGATAGAGGAGTGATCATACAAAATTTCTCTGAATATAGCTTTCCCTCTTTTAAATTATAGTATTATTTATATTGGAATTGTGTAGGGTCCTTGTATATAAAACGTTGGTTATTTTCAATTCTCTTGAAAATAAATATTTTTACATTTCAGGAGTATACAATAGATGTTTTCTTCCGGCAAAAATGGAAAGATGAGCGGTTAAAATTTAAAGGTCCTATGAACATCCTTCGACTTAACAATTTAATGGCTAGTAAAATCTGGACTCCAGATACCTTCTTTCACAATGGGAAAAAATCAGTTGCTCATAATATGACAATGCCAAATAAGCTTCTTCGAATCCAGGATGATGGGACTCTGCTGTACACAATGAGGTATCCTTTTAGGTTTGATATGTTGCATTTAAATACTGAGAAATCCATATATTGAACAAGCAGCCAAACTAGTGTCAGGTGATAGCACAAGTTGAATATTTTCATAACAGATTATGGGGGTACCCATAATATGCTTTGTAAATGCTTGGATATTAAAAAATAAAGGTAAAATAATATTTCTGAGTTTGATTCTCATTTTACTGTGTCAAAACTTAGGAATTGCCATACTAGTAAGAATTGAATTTGGGGGAGCTGTTTTCATACTGCATTTTAGTTAAGTATAGTTGTAATAGCATGATTTAAACATTTCTTTATACCAAGATGTAATTTTATTTTCAATATCTTATCAGATATCCCATCAAAATTTAAGTGATTTTTTAAAATCAGACTTTTACTTAATTTAATATTTTGATCTTCCTTATGATACTCTAAAGAAAAAATTACTTTTTTAAACTCAAAGAGGTAATCTTTATTTAATAAGGCTTAGAAGTAAATTGGATCATTAGCATATATATTGGATTGAACCATATGAAATTGCCATTTTATAAATAAAAAAGTGTCATGTAGCATCAATTTCATAAGATTCAACCTTTAAAAAAATCTAAAGAAATACACAGTTGCTGACTCTGACAGCTATTCAGTTTTAACTCTTCTCATTAATTAATTTTTAAAAATAAGTTTGCAATATGTAACAAAGAAAACAACAAATTAATAACAATGATGTATAGTCTAAAATGTAAGTGTTTAATAAAGACTTTAAAGCATAGGTAACTTCCATTATTAGCATTATATATAGACAAATATCTTCTCTAGGCATTTGATATATTATTATTTCATATGAAATGTTAAGTGGATTTCAGTTGTGAAAGTTATTTAAGAAGAATCAATAATACAGTCCTAATCTTTAAAGAAAAAACTCTTGAGGCCTCATTACTAAATGACATTGCCTGAAATGGAAGAATATGTTACACCTTTCGCCTTTCTCTCTGAATATTGCAATACAGATGCAGTGCCCCTGTTGATTTTACACTTTGATCATTCTCAAGGATTCAGACAATGATTGGAAATTTGGGGTTTAAACAAAATATAGGCAGAGAACACATAGAGTTTTGGAAAATGTTGCATGGGATTCTACTTAATATTCTCTTAGAAGTACATAAGCTATAATTAAATTGTTGGCCACAGTTGTTTTGTTCATCATAAGAGATTCTTCTATAAGTTTTAGTACCTATTTTAGTCACTTTACCTTATGCAAAATGGAATAATTGATAACTATAGCAAATTTGCTATGATTATTTATGTGATCATGTAGATACAGAAAAAATATTTAACTTTCATAACTTGTTTCTATAATTTAGCCAATATTTTAGGCTCAACAAAATACTTCTAGGAAATATATCTACAGATGTATTTATTTTTCTATATTTATATCCATGTACCTATATGCAATATGTGATACTCATTCACAATTTACATACTTTTGAAGGGAGCTCCTCTGAGCCAATTTCAGTTCTCATTTCAATTTTGCCATATGCTTGTTGATGAGGGAAAATAGCATTCTTTTTATGAGAAAGATTTTTTCATTTTTTTCTCTAACATTTCAAATATAAATAGGAAAGTAGTAGGAAAATAGCCCTTAAATATATATATACATAACTGCTTTGCTTTGTAACAAACTAGAGCACAATATCATTAAGTAAAGTATGTTTGTAAATAAATATTGTTGCTTGAGCTGAGATTTTGTATGTGCTGATGTCTTCTGTAGGATCACCTAAATGTGAAAGAACAAAATATATTTAAATGTAAATTAGTCTAATATGATGCTGTAATGAAGGTCATACCTCATCATTAATTCTATTCATAATAGTAAGGAATAATTTATTTTGACTTGCCAATTTACTTAAAAGAAAGAGTGAAATTTTCACTTTCAGGCTTACAGTTCAAGCTGAATGTCCAATGCACTTGGAGGATTTTCCAATGGATGCTCATTCATGTCCTCTGAAATTTGGCAGCTGTAAGTAAGGGGATGAAGATACATGTTTTGGGTCAATAAAATCAGAAATATTCAGCAGCAGTACTTAATTGTACAGCTTCTTCTGATATTGTGGAATACTTAATACATGTCCAACAAGATAACAGAAGTAAAAGAAATGCTGATTTCCCTCAAGGAAATAATTGGATAGCCCTATTGTACTCTCAAATGTTATATTTTAATTGTGATGTTTAAATTATCACTTGCTTTACTGCTAATAAAGAATATTATGTATTTTTATACACGGACAAAAGTAGACCAGGAGCTCCTTGAAGATCAGGACTATGTCATTTACCTTCTTTTCCAAGTGCCGGAACATGTAAAAGGCAAAATAAATGTGTGTGTGTGTGTGTGTGTGTGTGTGTTTGTCAAGTACAAATGAATTGTAAAAGAGATTCTATTATATACTTATTAAAGTAGCAATCACATAGTTCCAAATGTCAGAGCTGTATCTATGCAATTATATTTCTACTTTCTAACTAATGCAACGGAATTTTTTTTAATTTCCTAAAATAAATTTGAAGGAGATGATGGATTGCTTCATGCAGGCACCTTCTGGGTCCATAAAATATTTCAGAAAAAGTTCTGTCCATTTGACCACTCTTTAGGTCACAGAGGTTATAACTTGTATGTCAAGCAGAAGCATTCATACTCTCCCAGAATAATTGAAAAGAGGGAAGGTCAAATCATCTCCCTAGGCTCAGAAGGCATTAAGGGCAGGTTTGGGACAAATTCATGGCCACAGCCAAGTAGCTTCCCTCTTGTGTGAGCATCTCCCATTGCCCGACCTTTTTAGAATCCTTGCTCTTTCCAGCACTCAAATCTTTGTCCATTAAGGGCAACTTTTGACTTTTCAGTCTCCTATATAGAAATGCAGTTCTCTCACCTGGTTAAAAATACGTATGGCTGAATACTGTACCCTCTCCCCACAGACAGAGCCAAGGGAAAGGAAAGGAGGAAGGATGGCTAATCTGAATGCAGAACCCTCTAATCATTTTGATGACCATAGTTTTGTGGGATGAGGAGTTCAATCATGTTTGTTCTGTTCATTCTTACAAAAGGTGTCAGCTCTCACTTTTTCCTGAGAATCTCTTCTTTGTTTCACCATAAAGCCATCCTTTATTGTCATGGAAACCATCACTTCAATACTGGCATTTCCTCCAAAATTATTTAAGATAGTCAATCATGTTATACAACGTAAACATGGTGTTGAAAAAAACATGGTGCAGATGCAAGCAGAGGAAAACTCATTTGCATTGCATAAGTGGCATTAAAGAGAAAAACTGGAAACCAATGAAAGGATTTATTTAAAATGCAGTACTGGTGTAAGAAGGAAAGGCACGTCTCAGCAGACAAGTTAATGCCATTAAAACACCAAATATAAATGATGTAATGTCTCAATTCTGAATATGAAATAAATGCACCTGAAAATATTTTCAATTAAATTTAAAAATCCCTTATAATTCATTTACAGAGTAATGAAATAGTGCATGCTTAAGGATGTGATTTTCTGTATCTAAAAATGATACACACAAAATTTATTGTTAGCTTTCTCTGTTTAAGTAATTTTTTATTTAGTTTCCCTCACGTTTATTTTCTGACACATTGAATAAACAATTTGTATGTTCTTTCATTTATCCTTGGTGCTTAATAGTAGGTGCTTGATGAATAAGTGTTAGAAGTATGGACACCAGCAGTGAGTAACAGACTAATGAGCCAACAAAAACCTTAAAATGTTGAGAAAACAAATTTTGGCAGAAGCAGCTATGACTTTTTCTTGTAGCAGCTTTTTCTCTTTTGCTTAAAAGACCCCTTGCCTCTCCCCAAATGATAAAATTTCTGGAAACTTATCATTGCCCCACAATAAAAGAAGCCTTATTTGTATTAAGTTTACAATTTTGAATTCAGTTTTTTTTTCTTTATTTTTATTGCTTCACTTCTCTATATATTTCTTTATGTTTAACTGGATTTAAAACTTCCTGAATGGGATTCTAGGTATTCTGTGTATCAGTCCAAAATAAATTATAAATTGTATTTTGGGATAAAAATGACTAATTGAAAATGATATGGGGAATTTTTTTGGCTACCAACTATTAACAGCCAGTCAGTATGCATTTGATGAAGATTAGGGCTCAAAAATGGGTTAAGAGAATTAAATAAAATTATTTAATGAACTACTAACTTATAAATGGAATATATAATGAAATTTGTAAAACAAGTGATCTTTCCTTTTATACTTCACTGGAAAATATTGCATTGATATGGTTTATAGTGTGTTGGTGGACTAGGGAGTGACTCTAATCTGTATTTCCTAACTTTCTGCTATATATTCTCTCACCAGACAAAAAATCTAAAACACATATTCCTGTGTAATCTAATGAAATGTAATAATTGACATGAGAAGGATCAGTAACTTTCTTTGGCATATTCCTCAGATTTCTATTCAGATTTTTGTCTTCCCCAACAGTAAATAATATAATTAAAATACTATTTTTTTTAATTGAAATATTGTTGATGAACAATCTTATATTGGTTTCAAATATACAATTTATTGATTAATCTAGCAAGAATGAACTGAGAACATTTCATGTGACAGACACTGTACCAGCTGCAAGAAATAGATATGAAAAGATAGTGGCCCTGCCCACCAGTGTCTCACTAGTATCTTAAAAATGCACTGCATTTGTTAAGGTTTCATTATCTCTTGCATATGTTCTAAACTAAACATCAAAATTCAAAGAATCACTGTACTTAAAAAACCTTCTTAATTTCTTAAGATTCACAGCTGCTGAGTATTGTGAGGCCTTCACACAGAAAAAATAAAAAATAGCACCTATAATGTGTCTTTTTTATTTATTAAATTCTATGTCATTTTAAATCTTATTGGAGGGAGGGACATGATATGTATTCATGGTGCAAACAAAGCAGTTTGAAGATCTGCAAATGGATTGCAAGTTATCCACATTACTAATGTTACTTATTTAATTATAATAGCAGAATCATCAGTGCTTAATTAATTGAAATTATTTAATACAAATTTAGGCCATAAAGGAACTACAATTCATTCATAGGAAACTGTATGAATAGATCTGCTATTAATATACATACACATACATATATAAATATATACACACATATATATATTTAGAATCCTATTTCAAAAGTAGTTCACATAATATAACCTGTAGATAAAGGTGAATAAATACAGTGAAAAAAGTATTTCACTGATAGCAACATTTAGTAGTGACATTCTAGAAAATCAGACAACATAGTAGTATGACATTAAAATAGCACATGACAAATAAGACACTGACTCATAAACATTCATTTTATTGTTACTGATGCTTAAGTGGAATTGGTTTGTGATCACAGATCTTGGGTCAAAATAAGTACAGAGACCACCTCAGAACGATGGTATTAAGCTAAAAGACTTATATGATCTGCCCAGTGTCCTGGAGAGCTAGAGGCAGAGATACTGTCAGAGACAGCTTGTCCTTTCCTTCAATTGAGAATGTGACTGTGATGCTGAGTTTTGCTCAAGGACCAGGAGTAACTATTATTTCTAAATGTTCCCATGAGCAGAAGTGCTTAGAAGTTCTTCAAGTGGTTAGTGGTATTGCAAGCATTGTCTGTTTATACAACTCTGGAGAGACAACCTGCATGGAGAAGTCAGCCATTCCCCATCAAGATATACAGGCACAAGGAAAATGCCAGGGCTAGAGCAGAGCTAACAAGATATTCGGCCTGCCTTTCAGCTCTAGAGTCATCTCACTTCTGTCAAATTCTGCGAAGCCCAACTATATCTGGTCTGTGTGTTTTTTCTTCTCCTGCCAATCCATAAATTATGGATTGAATGGGATGCTATGAAAGTATAGCCCAATGAGATTTGGTACATTAATTAATTATGATGTGAACATGTTTTATAAAGTGTGCCCTGATAAATCTTGTAGCATTCTAATTCATGTATTCTGCAACAATTAGCTGTCATTATTCTAAAGAAAGACATTGTGTCATGATAGTTGTCATTTAATTATTAATTATGTGTAGGTTTTGAAGAAAAACATACAAAATTAGCTGCAAAATGGTACTTAAATATATGTCGTGATTACTCCTACATGGATATGTTACTTTTATGTCCAGAAGGCAATATCATTTTGGATTATGATGTTGCACTTTACTGATGGTTCTTACTAAAACGCTTAAAAATATTTTTTTTCTGATTTTTCTACAGATGCATATACAACTTCAGAGGTCACTTATATTTGGACTTACAATGCATCTGATTCAGTACAAGTTGCACCTGATGGCTCTAGGTTAAATCAGTATGATCTGCTGGGCCAATCTATTGGGAAGGAGACAATTAAATCTAGCACAGGTTAGTAAAATAAGTCTATAGAAAAGTTAGTTCCTAAGAAAATTAATGAATTAAAGTATTTGGGACTGTGTTCATTTGCTTAAAACATTTTACTTTTGAGGTATGTAGACTAGCAGTATAGACTGTTCTTGGGACCTTTTTGAAATTCAGAAATCTCAGGCCCTGATCCCTTACTAAGTCAGGATCTGCATTTCAACAAGATACCAAGGAGAGGCCAAGGAGTGCATTGTTTGAGTAGTACTGATCTGAAATATACTACCTGTTCAAAAAGTGAGTGAGTGCCTTTCCAGACAAGTCAATTTTACCTTCAACAGTGTTTTTCTAGTTTTCTAATTCTTTTTCCCCTATTCTGGATAATTTATGACTATCCAAGTCTTAATTTATGGATAATTACTACTGGCCTGTGTGGGAAAGCTGATGCCTCTCTAAGGGCCATTCTCATCTAAGAAAAAGCAGCCGTGCGAACTAATGATCATATGTCTGGCAGAAATAAACCCAGAAAGCTGAAAGGAAGGTAGCTAGAAGGACTGGATAAAACTAACTGCCGTGAGTTAGGGTAGACATACAATACTGCAAGATTCAGAATTGGTGACAGGGTCAAGTGTGCAAAATCTGGGCCAGATCATTCTTGGAGATGTGGTCAGAGATCAACCCTCTAAAGAGCCCAAGAAGACTGAGGTGAGAGAAGAATCAAGGCAGAGGCTGGAGGTAGGTACCAGTGGGGATGAGGCCTTGAGCAAGTAAGATAACCTATGATCACAGACCATTTAGGAATCCTGTACGTTCTTCATCAATAAGCATGACCTTAGAGAAGAAAACAAGTATCATACAGTGCAAGTTTCTTGGTAATATTAAAGTTCTCTTTTAAATATTGTTGCTGTGCTAAAGAGGCTTTAAAGGTTACATATGTTTCATGTTATATGTGTTATGTCTTTCCTTTCTTAAATCAGAGACTGTTCTTTCTCTAATCCTTCCATTTCTAAAATGTTCAAACTATTGACTATTACAGTTCCTTAAGCTTCTTAAAATTTTCTTCTAGGTGAATATACTGTAATGACAGCTCATTTCCACTTGAAAAGAAAAATTGGGTATTTTGTGATTCAGACATATCTGCCTTGCATCATGACTGTCATTCTCTCCCAAGTGTCATTCTGGCTTAACAGAGAATCTGTGCCTGCAAGAACTGTATTTGGTGAGTGCATAACTACACACACTGCTGTACAACACATTGTTTCAGAGTGTACTGTCAAAAGCATTTCTCTCTTGTTATACCAATAATTTGTGTGGGGGGCGAAGAGTATTGGCTTCACTTTATAGGAGATGAAACTGAGGCTCAGAGAGGTAAAATACAGTGTCACACTGTTAATAAGGTATATAAATAAAAAGACATCTAAATAGTACTCAAATCTGAAAATACATTGTCTTCTTTCTGTTAAATCATTTTGCTTTGCAACTTTTTCTCTGTGAGGATAAAGCAAATATTATTAGAGAGATTTTAATTGAGAGTATTAACATTACCATATTTCTAGGCTTCCTACGTTTATTGTTTGTTTTGTTTTTAGACAAATGAAAATGATCTTAGTACATTAAGTTAGAGAGAAAGGGAGGAAGGAAAGGAGAGAGAGAAGGAGACCCTTCATTCACAACTATAGCATATTTAGTAACAAGATTTATGTTCTTTATCTAAACAGTAAAAGGTAATTTGGTTTTTTTTGGAATTACTGCTTTTTTTGATATTTGAATTAGGCTGAGCACATTTTGTGACAAGGCAGATTACATTTGTATATTTGATCCACTCATTCATTTAGGAAAGAATGTATTACTGAGAATATTCTGCTTGATACTGTACCAAGCCCTAGAGCTTCAAATAATATAAAATATAGTCCCTGCTTTCAATTAGCTTATTATAGTAGAGGGCAACAGAATGCACAGGGAAGATAATGGCAACACAAAATGAAGGCATTATAAAAGAGGCATATTCAAATTTTATAGAAGACAGTGGCATGGATTTTCCCTAAGAAAACTAATTAAGTAGCTAAGTTGACATTTAGCTAAGTTATGAAGGATTAGTTAGGAGTTTCCCAGGCAAATGAAATGTGGCGAGTATCCTAGCCAAAAAAGAATAGATTGTACAATGACATTGCAGGATGAAAGAACATAGTGTGCTCAATGACAGTGAGCTCTTACAATATCAGTGGAGATACATACAGATAGTATAGTTTGAGGCCTAGATGAGATGAGCTTTGTATTGTAGGCCATGTTAATGCATGTTAGTACCTTTATCTTATAGGCTATAGCAAGCCACTATAGTGTTTTGAGACCGTAGATATGTATAAAGCTCCTAGAACAATGCATGGAATTAATATGTGTTATGTGACTATTACATATTCTAATTATTAATGCACAAAAATCACTTTGGCTCCCAACACCAGCAATGAATAATTCAAAAGGAAATGAATAAAATAATTCCATTTACAGCAATATCAAATAAAAGACTTAGGATATCCACTGAAACCTACAAAACATTGATGAAAGAAATTAAAGAAGACCTAATTAAGTGGAAAGAAAATCCATGTTCGTGGATTGGAAGACAATACTGTTAAGATGGGAATGATCCCCAAAGCAATCTACAAATGCAATTCAATACCTGCCAAAAGTCCAATGGCCTTTTTAGTAGGATTGATAAAGCTAATCCTTAAATTCATATGGAATTACAAGGGCCTCCAAATAACCAAAGTGATATTGAAAAAGATAAAGTTGGTGGGCTTACACATTCCAGTTTCAAAATAGTACAAAGTTACATTAACCAAAACAGTGTGGTTATGGCATATGGATAAGTATATAGACCAATTGAATAAACTGATAATCCAGGAAACAAATGCAAACCTCTGTGGCCAATTGATTTTCAATAAGGGTACAAAGACCATTCTTTGGGGAAATAGTCTCTTCATCAAAGGGTGCTGGGACAGCTGAATCACCACCACATACAAAGAAAAGAAGTTGGACCCCTACCTAACTCCAGATACAACAAGTAATTCAAATGGATGCACAACTTTAATATAAAAGCTGAAACTGTGAAACTATTAGAAGAAAACATAGGTAAAACTTTATAACCTTGGATCCAGCAATGGATTCTTAGATTTGATACCGAAAGTATGAATAATAAAGAAAAAATAGATAAATTGGATTTCATTAAAATTAAGAACTTGTGCTTCAAAGAACATTATCAAGAATGTGAAAGGACAATTTATATATGGGGAAAAATATTTGCAAATCATATATATCTAATAAGAGTTTAATATTCAGAATAAACAGAGAACTCCTTGTAACCCAAAACAAAAAAAAGACCAAAAAACATATTTTAACAAATGGGCAAAGAACATGAGTGGACTTTTTCTAAAGAAGTATACAAATGACAAGCACATGAAGTGAAATACAACATCATTGGATATTAAGGAAATGCAAATCAAGCCACAGTAAAATACAGTTCACATACACTAGAAGATTATTTAAAAAAAAACAGGAAATAAGTGTTGGCAAAGATGTAGAGAAATAGAAGACCTCAGATGTTGCTGGTAGGAATGTAAATAGTGCAGACTAGTGGACAACAGTTCAGCAGTTCCTCAAAAAGTTAAACACAGAATTACCATATGACCCACCAATTCCACCTTTAGGTATATACCCAGGATTAATGAAAACATGTTCACACAAACTTGTACACAGATATAGCAG